ACTCTGAGAGGGCACAAAGACGAGCAGCGTCAGATCACTGTCAACACTACACATGCAGCGATGTGGTTTGGCTGCATTGCCACAGCCTTCCTCGGCGGCGAGGACGTCCTCAGTCTGGCCGGACAGAAGAAGCTGGGCGCCTTTCTGCCAGACTGGGAGCAGGGCTGGACCTCTACCCCGTTGAAGTACCGTACAACTGGTCTATACCCTACCAAGAACCCCGAAACTTGGTACTCGCTGCACGGCAGTATGAATGCCAGGCCAGTGCTGGAGAGCATTGGCATCAACCCAGATGCGGAGGTCTCCAGCAACGAGGAGGCTGCGCTGCTCATCGCTGAGCATACAAAGAAGTACAGCGCCGAGGAGCTCGAGATGAACAATCTCATGAACGGCTTTTGTGGCTCTATCTGCTTCACTCCGGAGCAGTGGAACAAGTCCACCATGGGCAAGTCGCTCGCCGCACACCCACTGGTCAACGTTAAGCAACAGACACACGCCGTGCCAACAGCACCTGTCGTCTTCCCACCATTCAACCCTAACGACACCCGTCCTCTGGCGGGAGTCAAGGTCGTAGAAATGACCCGTGTCATCGCCGGCCCCGAAATCGGTACAATCCTCGCCTCCTTCGGCGCAGACGTGATCCGTCTCAACGCTCCTCACCTCCCGGACATCAACATTATGCAACTGACTCTCAATGCGGGCAAACGCACCTCGACCGTCGACCTCCGTAACGAGTCGGATCGTGCATACCTGCACAACCTCCTCGCCGACGCCGACGTGTTCATCCAGGGCTTCCGTCTCGGTAAGATGGCCAAGTTCGGCCTCGGCCTGGACGCGCTGCTCGAGATGGCTGGTAAGCGAGGAAAGGGCATCGTCTACGTGTCTGAGAACTGCTATGGGCCCGATGGCTACTACAAGGAGCGCCCTGGATGGCAGCAGATTGCGGATGCTGCAGCGGGCTCTGCTTATGTGACAGGTCGCGCACTGGAGGCCACTCAGAGGCTGCCCAAGAACGAGGCTGTGTTGCCTAGTCTGCCTATCTCGGATATGTCAACAGGTGTACTTGGTGCGGTGGGTGCTATGTTGGGTCTTAAGCAGCGTGCTATTCACGGAGGCAGCTGGGAGAGCCATGCTAGTCTCGCGGGCGTCAACGCATATGCTCTGCGTGAAGATGTTGGGCTGTACCCCCTTCAGACGGTGCAGGAGTGCCAGGAACGCTTCCAGTGGGGCGAGATGCGCGGCAGCCATCACGTGTTAGACTTGCTTGTGACAGTATGGAAGGGTTGGAAGAAGGTGCTGGGCAAGTACCTGGAGGAGGAGTGCGGATGGTACCAGAGCTTCGAGGGTAGTGCGTTTGAGGGCAAGAGGCTGAGTGTGTTGAAACCTGTACCGCAGATTCAGGGCCAGGAGAGTGCGCGATGGACTTCGCCCAGCGTGCCATATGGCGAGGAGAAGCTGGACGCTATGAAGTGGTTGGCTTGAGAGATCTGAGCTTCACAGTTCTTTCACCTCACCTTCACTTCTCAGTGCCACTACCATGACCACCACTGTAACCGCCTTATTAGCGCTGTATATAATCTAATTCGACTGTACAAACTCTATCTAAGCAGATGCAATCGCCGTCTTAGCGGTTCGGATGGTTTATCTTGCCAGGGTCTGGTGGAAGACTTCCTGACAAGGTACGCCGGTTTGAGTCGTGATAAACCCTCTCTCTTCCAGGTCAATAGATAACCCCTGTCAGAATAATCTTCTAAGGCGCTTGGTATCGCACATGAAGGTCAAAGGACAAACGTCATACACGGTCAGAATGACCCGGTCAAGAGGGGGCTTTCAGCAATATTATAAAGTCAAAGAGTGCTGTTCTTTTTGCTTCTTTTTGCTTCTCTAGATTGAATCAGTGGGCAACCAACACATACATGTTCAATGGTATACTCGCAATTGTAACTAGAGGAGAGGCGCATCTGGCCGCCTTCGTGTCGAGCGAAATTCAACTCCAAGCATCACCAACACGAAAACCTACCATCACTCGCTTCGAGTCCTTGACGAAACTGGTTCTGACCTACCGCTAATTACAACATTGTTACAGGTTTGACTCAAAGTCAAGGTTCTGGAGCCTTCCTAAGCAGCTCTTGCCTTTGAGCGACTTGAGAGGCAGGCATCATTGGACCATCTTCTTGGTCATCGGGCACGCCCAGGTTTTAGTCAACACCCTCTCCAGTTCAACTTCCGAACACTCGTCTCTCTTCCCCGCGAACTCAATACTACATCTCCGGACCGTTGATCCAATGAGTATTTCATTGTAAACTGGTGTGTTTCGCAGATGCAAGCAGATGCAACCACATGCGGCACAGCACGCCGGACAGGCTGACTTGCAGTCACTGCTGATCAACGTGGCTTAGTACCACCAACCCCATTAATGATTCTAATGCAGTCGAAATACATAGTCTGCGCGACTTCATTGGCCGGCCTTCAACTGCGCCTCACACACCCTGGTCTGCCTATTTGCCTAATTGCTTTTTCGGGACTTCTAAAGCGAATCCTGCGCAACGATGGATTCGTCCAGGCGGCTACTCGGCCCCCACGCCAGGCACCATGCACGAGACAACGTGTCGTCACTTCGGGCTTGTGAGGGTATATAAATCGGGCATCTGCCTATTGAGGTGGAGATTTGCTTTTTGATTTAGCTCAAGGTTTTCTGTATTACACACAAAATCACCATACTCGAACCCGACAAGCCACAAACGCACCGACATCTGGGATACCTCACGGAAGCCAACGCTGAAAGCTGAACTGGCAACTCGCAGGCATGGAATGCATCACACGAAATCCGCTTGCACCGCTGCGTCTCCTCTCGCTCGATGGCGGCGGCGTACGCGGTCTTTCTTCGCTTATGGTGTTGCGCGATCTGATGCAAAACATTGCGATTGAAGAGAAAAGGCTAGGAAGGAGAGAGAACAGTGACTACAGAGTGCTCAGACCTTGTGACTATTTTGACTTGATTGGCGGTACATCCACCGGCGGTATCATCGCCATTCTACTATCTCGCCTCAGACTTAATTGCGAACAGTGCATCGACATCTACTTGAAGCTGGCGCAGAAGATCTTCAAGCATGATCATTCTATCTCCGCCTTTGGGTTGAAGGTACCATTAGGCGCAGCACGCTTCTCTGGCACCGTTCTGGCCAATGCAATCAGAACAGCGCTGAGAGAGCAAGGCTTCGATGAGAACGAGTTGATGTGGGATGCGGCCTTATTTGAACAACATGATGATGATGCAATGAGAGGGAACAGCATCTGGACGGACGCGAGAGCCGGAAGCCCAGTTGAGAGTAATAAGGCTCCCACTACGACATCGGAGACAGAAAATGCCCCAGGAAAGACTCCACCGCGGGCAGATACCTGGCAGTTAAACAAACGAGACTCTGTTCATCAGAAGGAGAACGTGACTGGCTGCCGCGGATTCGTACTCACTTCACTCAAGAACGCACTCGGCATGCCTCGAATTCTCTCCACATATGACCCCAATGACCAGACGACGCGCATCTGGGAGGCTTTACGAGCTACATCTGCAGCGCCGACCTTTTTTGAGGAAATGCAATTTGGGAGTCCAAAGATCACGTATCTGGACGGCGGCGTGGGCTTCAACAATCCATGCGCCGAGGTCACCTACCAAGCGAAAGAGATCTGGGAGAACAGATCCATTGGTGTGATAGTTTCGGTGGGAACTGGGATGCAGAGTCTGTCCAGTGTGAAAAAGATGGCTTCGTGGCTTCCATTTGGCCTCGGCACTGATATTGCGCTGGCTACAGCATTGAGTAGCATGGCGACCAGTACTGTACGAGTTGATAACGAGATGCGACGCACATTCAATAACACCGATACACGTTACTATCGGTTTGATGTGGATCGTGGGCTGTCCAACATCAGCCTGGAGCAGTGGATGAAAGAAGACGAGATGGCATCGCTAACCGAGCAGTACATGCAAGACGGCGAGCAAGTCCGGCGAGCGAAAGAGCTTGGTGAGATCATGGCGAAGTTGTCTGCCCTACCGCCTCGATTCGACTTGCCAGCTACATGCTTCAAAATTGGGATGGAAGGGCAGGGCCAACATGATGGGTCCTTCCGTGTCGTGCAAGTTGATTTCAAGACCGGTAGACTGATGGGCTCTAGCGAAGAAGGACTCCCGACACCGCCCATACCACATATGCATACGCCGTTTCATTCTCAAGCTCCACGCAGCGTCTACCCCGTGACCCAGGACCTGGACCACGACGGCCACCGCGATGAAGCGACTATATACCAATGCATCGATGCCTCCAACGTCTGCATACGTGCACTTAAGGTTGGTATACCCCCAGGTCGCTACAAAGTAAAGTTCATTCTCGCGTTTCGCCCGTCGTTTAAGACTCCGCCATACGACCTGATTGTCAGTGCTGGCCTCCCTTACGACGTTAACACATTCATGGACCGCTTTGTCGATGTCAAAATCACTCCGGATTGCGCCACTGTGCTGCTGCATCCCGATGCTGTGCGTATACGCATTGGAGAGGAGCGGTACGAAAGGAAATGTGGGAAGGGATGGGTGGAGGTTGAGGGTGATATTGATCTGAGAGTGGGGCTTGAAGGCACGCTGGGGTTCATCGTCAGTAATCGGTACAAAGATGGAGTGACCATGGATGGGTGGGACTTTGGAGGTGCACGGCTGGAGCCAATGCATGAAGGGCGGGAGAGTTAGTGGTATGAGAAAGAGACAGATGACGGTGTTTTGAGGGCGTGGCGGGGCTAAATTGCAGACTCAGCTTCTTCATATATACACAGCGGTATTTATTTGATGAACAATTGCAGAGATACCTTCCGAATGTCACGAACCACATATCGTGGGTCATAGTAGTCAGCAAAAAGATTGATATCTCTGCGACAGACCTTCACAGCCACCTCAACACCACACCACATCCAGAGAGAAAAAAAGAATCCTGGAGGATCTGTAGACAGACGAATGATGATAAGGACGAGACTCGAACTCGCGCCACTTTCGTGACCAGGAAGCTCAGTAGAGCAATGCTAAGGGAGTACCTTAACCTGGCGCCATAACCAACTCGGCCACCTTACCAGGGTTTGTCTTTTTTGATGAAGGTCGCGGCAGCAAGTTGCATCATATCCTTGGATATCCTGGATCTCGCTGGAGATCCTATGCTTGTGGTGTTTTTTTGGGGACCGTCAAGGGGTGCTGGTGAAGGTTGGGGTGGGTGGGGAAGACTAAGTGGAGACGGGAAAATTTGCAGTGGCAGAGATTTTGACCACGAAACGAAAGAAAGGGTGGCTCATCTCTGTTTGATGTGGCTTTCTAAAAAAACAAAAATAAATTCTCAGATGACTACAGAGCTCGAAAGCCGAGCTTCCTCTGCAATTCCCTTGGAAGTGTTCATGCGTGTCCCAGAGCCCAAGTCTCGTGCAACTCAGTCATAATTGAAGTCCCCCACGTATTGTACCTCGCGATCCCAGCGATAATACTCCTTCATTAAATCGTTATGCATCTCGCTCCAGGGAGGGTTGGGCTTCCAGTCGTCTTGATAAGGGAGTCGTCTCATGGAGCGGTGAACCTCCCATTCTTGATCTGTCGAGTTGCAATTGAGAATATGTTCGCATTACAAGGAAAGGAAGGACTGACAGTGGACAGCTCCCATCGTAAAGTCTGTAATGTGCCATGAACACTCAGATACTCTCTTGTAGAAACAATTCCACCAGCGAGTTTGAAGGTCTTTGTTATTACAAAAGCATCTTGAATTTAGGTAGGCGTCTGGGTGAGTCCAGTGGAGGTGATGGACTTCAACGCAATTTCCCTCCGGAGTCCCTTTGGGCCAAACCTCTGCATGGCAGTTTTGCTCGGATTGTGCCTAGAAAAAGTGAGTAACCCGCGGAAAAACTCCACAAGAGCAATACTGTACCGCGCATGACAACTTCCAGAAGGGTACATCCGGGCGGATTACGCGCCAGTCGTCGGTGGCATGTGCTGAAGAGATCGGCCCAAGAATTTGGAATGTACATAGGAGGACGTTATTAGGTATTTTCGTTGCAGCTGCTTACTTAAGTTTTTAGAAGAGCAGGACAACTCATTATATATAAAGTGTGGAAATGAAGTGATGGTTCGATTGAGTACTTGAAGGCTCAACCATAGTATGAAATCGGAAATTGATCGAGTTAAATGTGGTCCACAGGATGTGGTCATACCGGTGCACGTGGCCTTGCGTTCCGATAATCCTGTAACAAATAAAAGGCATCCTCCTTCCGAGTGATTGGCTCACGACTATGGCAGTTGTAGTAAGGAAATTGGTTGTACCAGTCAACGTGGCAAAAACCTCACACGCATTTTTGCATCACCATTTTCTGCAACCAGACTATGCTGGTATTAAGGGTACCAAGTAATCCATTTAATGCAATGCAGGAATAGTCTAGGTTGCTGCAAAAGCTGCTTGGGGTCAGCCTCCGAAACTAACAGAGTTCAAAATAGCTACACATGCCATTGCCTGTATTTGCGGCATGTATACAGAGTACTTCTTTGAGACGACAATATTCCCTAGTAACGATATCTTTAGTGTACTTGAGGGTGTTCAAGATCTAGTCAGCTGACACTATTAGCCTCAACGTACTTCACCAGCTGTGTCTACAAACTGCGTTATTCTCATTGTTGTCCTGGCAAGTGTATGTAGCCGATAGATGTAGGCTAAACACGATGCTTAGATGAAGGGCCTGCTCACCCGCTCACTTTCTATGGACACGCCGTTTTGGTTACGCGATCATTCACAGTGCTTCAAGAAGGCAGTAGAGGTTTGACTAATAAGTATGCTTTTGTACTACAGCATATACCCTATGCGTGGTTGTGTGAGGCTATGTTCAACCGTGGAGCATATCCATAGCGGAACAGATATCTGTATCAACATCAGATATATAGGATTCAAAGCCTTGAACTATCAGTCTTCGCACTGCAGTGAAGCCCCAAGGACCAGCGTTTCTGCACTATCTCTCCTCCATCCTCCTTCAGATCCAGTCGCGGGCAATAAAGGTGTGAGTCCGAAGAACGTTGTTTGGTCCAAGTACCTCCTCGATTACTGAATGTGGAGCATCATCTGATGTCTTTGATTCACGCCTGAAAGACCTCACCTGGTGAGGCGGCGCATCAGGCATCTCAGTATCTGGATCTTGGGGTGCATCTGGCATTTGCTCGTCAGGAGGGTAATCGGCAATATCGAAGACCAGGTCTGCACGGTGCGCTTTCGTAAACCCCATGTCTTCGTTCTTCAAAACGCGAATGCCCTTGATATACTTGCGACCAAGATCCTTTTTGTGCTGCATTAGAAGATAAGCGATCGTAGCACCGAGAGGGGATCCTGGAGGTAGTCAGCGGGCTGGCTCGTTGGTTCTATGGTGCTTTTCTCGAATAGTAGTCGCAAGGTTGATGTTTTGGCCAACTCAATTCAAGAGCCACCTCAGATTGTACTCGATAGACGAACGATAACTTACCAATCAATGCAAATCCTTCAGGTGTCTGCGCCTCGAAATACTGACCAGGCCATTTCTGCATGCGTTTCTTCTGGCGGGAATCCAGCACACGTGTGATGATTGAGTCCGTGTCTTCGTTATGTACGTCATTGACGATATACATGTTGAGGTTGTTGATGGTGTTCTTGGAGCCAGCCTTCTCATGCAAATCAACCCAATACGCCCAATAAAGATCTGAGAGGGCTCTCAATTTAGGAAGATCATCGGAACCGAGCTGTTGGCCATATAACCGCCTTGCGCTGTACTCGGGCCCGAAGATGGCAATACCAACTATCACTATCCCCAGGTGAATTGGTTAGAGCAGTGGAAGGGGCTGCAAGTGAAGGAAAACTTACCTCCATGCTGGATATCCATAGCTATCAGGTTGGAAGCACCGGTAGCCTTATACGTACGTCCTTCAACAGTATAAGTCTGCGACTTGATGGAATCAGGTGCTCCGTCCGAGTTCGGATCTTCTGGGCTGAAATGCCGCAGTTTGAAGCACTGTAGTCCGTCCTGATGTTCCGAAGGGAGTTTGAGTTCCTTAAAGATGACTTTCATGCCAAAAATGTCCATGTCGCAGAGCTCTCCGGTGACCTCATTGTAGTGCCAGAACCACTTCGTGACCTCGGCAGTACCTCCAGTCCATTGACTTGCAGCCGATAGTGGATTTTGCCTCTCGCCTAGCTGCCAGCCTGCCTCTCGATCAGTTCCACGCATGGCGCAGTCCATGCCGCGGCCCTTGCCCACAGCCTTATTCCAGACTTCGTCGCTGGCGGGGTCGGCGAGAGGTTGATTTTCGCGGCTGCTTCTGCCTACGAGCCGAGCAGGAATATGCAGTTGGAGTGTATCAATGCCAGCTGAAGCATTCGAAGTTAGGCGCCGGGCAACTGTAGTAGCCAAAAGGCCAGCCACAGTCGCAGCCAAGAACGAGAACCTCATTGTAGGTATAAGGTTGAGGTGGACTGCGGTTGAAGATTGTTGCTACAGTCAGTACCGAACTCGTTTTAAGCATGCAAATTGGATGTTTCACTGGTTATGACAGTGAAAGTGAAGACATTCACCCTTTGTACTATAGGCAACCACCCCACTCTGACGTAGATCAATCTCGATTTGTCGGGGATATTGATAGATCTGAGTGAATTGGATTGCTCCAATTTTGAAGACTACATATGAGGAGAATCTAAAAGAAAACGTAACCAATGAAATGTGTAGTCATCTTAGAGCGCTACAAATGCTTCATCTTGATCAAGAGGCTGCTTGGAGACAAGCAGAGCAGAGTCATGCTTGGATCTTCCCTGCGGTAACCTGACCATACAATAGTGCACATCCACACCCTCTCCTCCCCACACTGTCCTGTCCCACTCAATAGCTCTCTTTACCTCAAACCCTCTTCTCTCATATATCGGTCTCGCGATCTGACTGGCATCCAGATACGTGATCAAGCCCTCATCATCCGCTTTTTTGACGCCCCAATTAAGCAACAATTTCCCGGCCCCTCGCCCCTGGTGATCAGGATGTGTAGCCAAGCTGTTCAGCATGAAGAAGGGCTTCTCAGTCCCCATGATTTCATCCCTTGCGCTGTCGAGTGGAATGAACAAAGATTGCAAAGCATCGACGCGAAGTTCTGGGGGTAAGAAGGTTTTGTAACGCGAATTATGTCCAGTCGCTGTTTGCTCGGTTTCTGTCGGAATGGATGCGTGTTCTGTGGTTGAGGTCCCATCGGTGGCTTCATCTCTTGCTTCTATTTGGATGTCGTCCTCGGAGTTCATCAATTTCCAGACTGCGACCGCGATGATCCTGCCATCATTGTTCTTGGGTTCGTCCTGGCCTGGCGTGAGATCTGTGTCGACTATTTTCCAGTGCCAGACATTGGGGCTGCCGATCTCTCGTTTGCGATCTTCAGCTACACCGCGCATAGACTGTTCGCTGACAAGGCCGTTGTGGAGGATATCGTGGGTGGGTCCATAGTATGCGAGTGCTCGCGTTCGTATCCAGGAGAGCGCATCGGAGGGCTGTAGAGGACGGATCTCGAGAGGCATGGCTGTGTTGGATGTACACTATCCGCACCTGGGAACTATGCTCTTTTGTTCAGAGACTGCAAGTTGAAAATGAGTCACAATCACAGGAAGTCTAGAAGGATCAAGCGGGATACATAAGCAGCGGGGAACCTTTCCAGGCTGCTACACTTCTACAAGCCGCTGGTGGAGGTAGGGAACCTGCATCGAGATTGCATCGAGATTGGATGGATAGCACAGCAACTGCAGCAACGAGCTTATGTGCCGCGGCACGCAATGCGACAAAAGCCTTTGATGGCTAGGCTTGTATTGGCTCCCCTGCACGCTGAAAACAATACCCCACTTCACCAGATTAGTGTGAGCAAGCGCCGTTGTCGCGCGCAACTTCTGACTTGACATCTCCTTTGAAACATAGTACTAGCAACCATGTTCACTTTTACCTCTCACAACAGCCGCGTTACAACGTCAAGTTAATACCTGTATTGGGATATATGGCTACTCATGCCGTGATGACGTCACGTACACATGATTGAAATCCGCCTACTTGAGACATCCA